CCCCCCCCCCCGTTATAAGTAAAGAGGTGTATGTTCACTTACAAAAAAAAAGTAGCCTTGCTGAACAAGCTGAATTAGCCCCCACAGCGTCCCGTACGTCACGCAGCACATTAATTACATTAAAAATTAATTAAAAAATTGGTCAGAATTAAAACTTTCCACAAATGAACTAGCCCATAATAGCCACAGACTCATACCAAAAGATAGCCATATAAATAATTTCATCTGTTGTTATTTCTTGTTTAAAGTCTCTAAATGTCCCGTACGTCACAATCCAAATAGCTTGGACCTGCCCAGTAAAGAGGTGTGTGTTCACTTACAAAAAAATGTAGCCTTGCTAAACAAGCTGAATTAGCCCCCCCCCCCCCCCCCCCCCCCCCTTGTCTCTTTCTCTTCCTTTCTCTTACTCTCTCGGGTAAACAAGGTAATAAATAATAGAAATAAAACAAATTGACAAATTATATAGCCCCCATCCCCTCTCTCTATTGAACAAAATAATGATAAATGATAACAAATAATCAAAGGAGAATATCTAGAGCGCTATAAAGCAGACATTAGATCAGTGCTATTTCTAGCATAATAACCCCTCCTTTGTTATATAGGTTTAATGTCATGATGCAAACTTTTTCTGTTGACATGAAATGGGGTGAATAAACTGAAAACACTCAGCTGATTAAGGAAAATAGAGCATTAAAGGTGAATCTTTCATTTTAAAGATTAAATATCAGTCCATATTGTAAATGTTGTAAACAGAAACAATCACTCAATAGTAAAATACAGGTACAGTGTATTTCTTTGGGAAAAAGTAGAATGTTAGATCAGTTTAAAATGTTAGATCCTGAAAAGAATCTATAGGGAAATTGGTAACCCTATTTTTATCAGTTTTTTTAGGGGGTTTGGGAGGGAAGGGGAGTGGTGTGGGAGGATGTGGGAGGATGGGGAGGGGATGTATGGAAGTGGGGGTGTGGGGGTGTGGGAGGGAGGGGGAGGGGTATTCTCCATGGGTTATTTTCAATTTATAAACAAAATATTTATGTTTATTTGGAGGAGGTCTGCAGAGGTTAATTTTAGAGGGCCTAGGGGGTAAAATTGCCCTCAGCCCTCATTTATTTTGAGTAAGATCTTGGATTTCAAACTTACTAATAGCAAAAACACAGAAAGGCACACATGGGACAATGCATTGTTAGGTAGTCTCTATACAAGGTTTATCCAGTCGCTATATCCATTTTGTCCTTTTTCTTTATTGCAGCCATTTTGTAATTTTTATTGAAACATTAAGCTAACATATTTAAAAAGGCCTTCTTCTGGTTTGCATCAGATTGTACATCCCAAAATTTCACTGAGGAAACTTTATCACAAAATAGGTGCTTAAAAATAAAAACGAAGAGTCTGAAATGGAAAACAACAACAATCTTGAACATAGCGCGATCGATCTCCTAGATTGTGCTGACGGCCTGTAACATGTGACCCTGCGAAGCATTGTTATAAAGCTGGAAGTACCCCTCTCGCGTGCCCCCTCAGACGACATCAAAAACGTTGAAGCTTGTTGTTCAAAGTTTACATGTCTGGCTTTAAAAATACTACAGGGTGCACCAAAACAAAAATGTATGTTTATGACTTTATGAATATGAACTTGGGTTGCAAGTCATACACATTCATTTAGAGATGGAAAAATCAATTTCATTTCTGGGGGGGGGGGGTGAAATAAATTGCAGGAGCTTTGGGGGTGCCTAACTCAGAGACATTTAAAATTTGAGCTATACTTCAATTGAAGCACAGTATCCTATTCAAATTAAATTAAAATAAAACTCAAGATACTGGAAACTGCAAATCAGAATTGCAATTTGGAGGTCTTGAACAAATCCACTTGTTGGTATCTATCTTCACCTTGTATTCAATATCGATTTCTTCTTTACATTATCAAATCATTTTAACTGAATTTTCAAAAGTCAAATGGAATCATATGGGCATCAAATTGTGAATGTAACACCAAATTGCACCATATGGGACTACTGACTTTCCAACCTCTCCTTTTTTACCCCCACCTCGCCTCAATCCTAGCTATATCCAGTGTCGGAATCCCAGACATGATGGTAGCCAGTACAAACACTTATTGCAGGACAGGGTCCAACTTATATCAATTTATTTTGAGCAAACAGAAAAGAGAAGTAAAAACATGACACCTATAATGGTAGTCTTGTAGTTAAGACTCTTTGTGATATATTCAAGCACTTTTGAATTTGTTCTCGCTCCAGTGATGATGCAGTTGTGAAGTTCTATTTCATGATCACTTTTAAAATGGGAACAAAATTTAGAAAATAAAGTACGAAAGCAGAATAATTTTAACAAATCTACACACACTATATATAGTAGTCTCCTTCACCAGACTTTGCTTTCAACAAATTGCAGATCTATTTTTTTAAATACCAAATATGCAGAAAATTGGGGGTCCACAGTATCAAGTGCTGAAAACCCTATCTAACTCCACAAGATTTTGAATTTATTACCTATGCACATTTCTGCATCATTGGTCACTTCTTACAGTTGTACCTATCTTTATTTGTTATGAAAATTCTAATATCTGAAAGAAATTCTGTACAACTTATTATCAAAGTCATTTTGGGGGGGTAATACTTATTATGTAGCCCGTAAGTCAGCCTAAATTCATTATTACAATCAGTCAACGTTACCTCCCACCTAAATTGTTCACAATTACAAACACAGCTGCTATGTCAGGCAACCTCGAAGACAAAGCACGGAGTGAATTGCAGAGAGTAAAGTCAGTCGATTAAAAGGGGCGCAATAAAGCGACCATGATCCACTGGGCGAACGATCGGGAGGGCGACCCCTCGCGCCGAGACATTTTTAGAGACGGGTCCCTTTCCCAGACTGTATAGACAGCAAGCCCCTGCACAGACAGGCCGAGTTCTCGAGGAAGAAAGCATATGAATGCAACATACATTCCAACATGTTCCGGCCGCATGTATGTTCACCACGACCTAAGCGACACGCACACTGCCTTGCCTCATTTGCATATTCCTAGGCTGAGACACACACACACAAGTCAGGCAGGCAGAATCAACTCTAGTCTCTCTCTCCTTAGAGTGGCTGCGCCTGGCTAGCTGGCTGTCTGGCTTCGCTAATGGAAGAACTCCCTTCCTCCACGTTTCGCGATTCTTTTCTTGTTTCTTCATGTTTTTTCCGGGGGACCTACGAGCGGGTGGGTCGCCCCGATGGAGCGTTTGGGCGCCATTTTGAGCACCACGTGGACAAGTTCGCGCCATATTCCACAAAAACGAGTCTTTTTATTTAAAGTAACTGTACATGGAGATTTTTTCCTCACATTTTAAGTTACAAAGCTGGAAATAAGGTACAGAGAATCTTTCAAAGTAGAACAATAAGTAGCGATCCCTACCACTTTGTTTGCTGGGACACAAATTCCTTGATTTACGTTTACGTTTTTTGTTTGTGGTTTGTTAGGAGTGTTGGTAGCATTTTCACACCAGACTTTTAGATTAATAGATTTTTGTTTAATAGATTACCCTTTCTGCTTCTTGAACATTAAAATTTTCTCTTATTTTTCTTTTGGGGGGGGGGGCTACAACACAAAATCAGTTCAAACAAGGAATAATGAATTGTAGTTTCCCCAAAAAGGAAAATGATATATTTTGAAACTGTCCAATGTCCTCTGTAGACCTTAAAATGGATTTTTAAACTTATTTTCCCTTTAAAATATGGCTTTGTACCCGTGAAAATCTTGAAAATGTGCTCTGGTACGGAAGTAAAAAGTAATTAACGTTCAAATGTTACCTTCCGAATGTTGCGTAGGTCCTAGTCTCAGAAGGCATCCACTTTAGAATTTGAATTGTTCCAGCTATTTACAGCACCGACGCATTTAATAATATTTTATTTTTCTCCGTAAGAAAAGTCGAGAAGTAGAGAAACCGTGGCGAAAATCGTAAATCATTGGTACAGGTGCCGATCGCAGCTTGCGTCCCTTCCTCGGTTATTCACGAAACTGCGGCACTCCCAAACTCGCGGGATAAAATCCATTGAAAGAAAAACAGGAACTGTTTTCAAGAAGAAAGTTTGCGGAAATTGAACCGATGACTCTTGACCCACATGAGGTACATATAAAATGACGAACACTTTTTAAATATTTAAAAATAAAAAAGCCAGAATGTCCTTTTTTAGCAGTCAGGGATGAGAATAAAAAGAGGCAGGTCATTGAATTAATGTGCAAATCCATATGTTCCTTTCAAGATACCACAAATAATCTATCTGAAACGTTGGCGTAGGAAATATAGTCCTTACTTTCGCGTAAAAACCGAACACCGCCAACTAGTGCCGAGACATTGGCAACCTTCAGACGGTCTCACGACATTCCGACACATGCGCATTAATGTTAACTTTCGGGAACATTCAGACATGTTAATTTCTGCCCGCCATCTTGGAATGATATATCTGCCACACCTTCTGTGGCAAATGGAGAGCCGACGAACGAAGAAAGAAAAAAAATATTAAATGAAATCACGTACATGAGCACATTGGTGGTTTACCTACAAAAAATAAAAATTGTCGAGTGAACAGACAAGGATATATACAGGCTGCATTTCACAAAGCATGAATTTGGGGGCGCAAAACGAACGAGAGAGCGCAGGCCATGTGTGCGCCGCCGCCGCCGACAAGTCACGAGAGCAAAAACCCGCCATGTCATACTCATAGGGCGTTGTTGCTTTGCGTCATGGCCACTGTCTTGTGTGCGTGAGCGCCATTTTCCTTTTCAACAAAGCTAAGCACACTGTCTGGCTTGCACCCCAGCCGACCCATACACCCTGCTTTATGGCGGGCAACCAGAATGTTCAGACACAAAATTTGCGTTGCCTTAAGTCTCTGAACTTTGTCCTATCACATTCAAGAGAGAGAGAGAGAGGGAAAGGGAGAAAAAAAAAGGCACATCGTATCAGACTAAACTCATTCATGTCACAGTTTGTCCTCACCTACTAGACGCCTTTCACTGTACAAGGCGAACGAGCAAAAAGAAACGTCCTAGACGTGGCCGTGTATAGGTACATGTAGATCCATATAGGTAGGATAGGCAATTCATCACAGGCTGCAGTAGTCCGTGTAATCTAACATTGAATCCTCATGTACAGCACGGCTGTATACTAGCTATGTACGGCTCCCCCATGCTTAGAACGAGAGAGAGAAAAGGGTCGCCCGTACCACTACTCTCCGCTGGCTACACATGTGGCTCACACGGATACAACAGCAAAGAAGTCTGAATGAGCAGTCAACAAGAACATTCACAGAGAATTCATGTTACCTGGCTTGCGATCGTCTCGGCGGCAGCACGCGCCTTCCACCCCCAAAATGGGCGCCAATTTCTACGCCGGGCAAGAAGCAGAAAACAACCGAGTTCCTCTCCGACTGCGTTGTGAAGCACCCATTGAGGAGAGACACGTAGAGAGGATGAAAGAGCGAGAAAGAACGAAAGAATGAGGGGGAAAAAGACTCGGCTAGATTGAGCAGCAACGCTCTGAATGCTAATAGTTGACCTCAGGTCACCAGACGTCTAACTCAAATCCGGGGGTCCACACTCCTAGGCTGAGAGCCGGGTAGCAGCAGAGCGGCATTAACCTGACGGAGTTGTGACCTGAATTTGAATGTTCCATCGAGCGGGGAACATTTTAGGGTGCCTACTCCAAGAGTATAAGACCGTAGTTATCCTCAGTAGCTGTTCAACACAGGTATAGACGGATTACACCAATCCTCTACCACTACAGACACAGTAGTTTATCTCTCTCTCCCTCTTTCTCTTTCTTTCTCTCTCTCTCTCTTTCCCTCTCTCTTTCTCTCTCACTGTATCACACAGGCTATGTGCACATTGTGTATGAACTAGTATTGGAGGGGCCTCTACCTAGCTTGGTGCAAGCATTCATCTACATGTATGTACGCACTGACTGTGCCAACACGATGGAAAATGCAACTGGGGACTTGGGAGCGGAAAAGAGTACATATTGAGCCCGTCTTGCCTGGCTGCATGCGAAAGTGCACTTGGATTTTCTCCCTCTCTTTCTCTCTCTCACACACACACACACACACACACGCGTGCGACACACACCTAGTCAAATAATAGTCTAGCCAATCGTCTATATTCGCTGCCTGCTCGAGACAATGCGTATTTGCAGTTCAATCCAGCCAGGTCCGATGTTCAAGCCGCTCTCTGAACAAAAACAGCCCCACCTCGGAACGCTCGGAATACCATTTAGTCAAGTCTAAAAATGGCAATAAAAAAATCACACAACCCAATAAAATTGTCAAAGCTTTGACAAAAAATCAGTAACAAAATGATGGATTGACGATTCTCAATGGCAATAAAATCAATAAAATGCCCATCATTGCTGGCTATTCAAGTAAGGGGGATGTTTGAACAAGCTGGCACAATATAAAAGGAAGCTATACACAATTAAAAAAACAAATTTAACAATTATTCAGACGTGTGTACGTGTCAAGTCTGAATATATCGTAGAGTGGACATAAGTGGATTCGAGGCTGAAGAGCAAGACTATTTCCACTTGAACTCGACAGTCTGGGCTTAGGTATAGAACACATAGCGGTGAATGTAATGCACATTGACGCGGTAACATGTACAATATGCAGGCCTCTTCAGCACGGAGCATTCCAGCCTTTCAACAATGCACCATGGTAGTCTCTATTCTCAGACCCATTAAGCTAGACACCAGCATTTGTACTGGAAATGCTAGGCTTACATACAGTATAGAGTACCAGGTTAAATGCAGTTTCCCCCATTGAATAAAATCAGTTGTACAGAGTCTGGACTGGTAGACTAGAAGGGGATGTTCACTGTAGTCTACAATCCAGACTCGGCTGACCTCACTTTCCACACAGGGGCGGTCGGTTTGCTCGCATAATCCTTAAAGAAAGGCTAGCTATATAATAAACACACATACACGTACAACAAAATTGGAATAAAGGATGTAAAAATCAGACGAACATTAAAACATTGGCCTAACTTGCAATCATATAAAGATAAAAATAACAAAATGCAAAGAACAAGAAAGCTTCTAAACCAGGGAAGGAGAGAATATTTGACCAAAGACCACTCTTCAAAAATGAATGAGAAAGCGCTAATAAGACAAACTTGTAATCTTAAAGTTGCTCATGCATGGGTTTATAGAGGGCAGCACACAGACGTACGCACAGGAGCGTACCGGTGATACCCGTTGGCTCAGTGTTTGTAGTGATCGCCAAGTTGCCTTCTTCACGAAGGACTATATACCCACGCATGAACATCTTTAACAAAGAATTGGAATTGCCTCTTCTCCCACTGAAAGACATACAATTTATAGTTTTGTGTCCACTTCCAGGATATGTTTTAAAATTGTCAATAATTCATTTATTTCCACACCCATGTAATGTATAATGGCAATACAAAGCCCACACCATTTGTGAGTAGTTGCTTTTTTCAAACAAATTCATGAATGTTACTGCAATTATACATGCATTGGAGAGATAAGAAAACTAATCTATGCAAGCCATTTCATATTAATGTAATGTTCTGTTCAAAGAGAAGCATAACAGTCAATGAAATATTAAGTACTTGAAAAAAAGGCATTTTGAAAGAGAAGATGTCAAGAGAACATTCTGCTTCTAGTTCCAACAAAAAAACCTCCCACATATGCCCACGAGGGACTATACACCCCCAATATCAATAATAAATTCTAAAGACTAGATATTGCGGCACGAATTGGCTTCAACCTTTCAGGCAGGGCTCTTAAATAGGAAACACTGAAACCATTCAAATTTTTTTTCTTTTTTCAAATACATATTAGTTTTCAGACCCTTCTTCCTGCCTGGTGATAATGTACATTTGTAGCTGAAATGTAGATTTAATATTCCCCTATAAATTTGATGGGGGTGGGGGGGGGGGGTCTTCGTAACTCAATAATGAAAGGTATATTTGTTGAATTAAGACCTTTGATGAATACTTTAAGATGTAAGCTTTAGTAGAAGTACAGTACATTATTGTTACTTTCTCAAGAAACACACTGTACATCGGGACAAATCAATTTTTCATCAAATTAAAAAAATTACACAACGTGGAAATGGTATGAATACTTTATCATACATCTTCTACCAAGACAATGACACATAGGATTATTCAATGGGACAAACAGGGCACTTTGTTCTATGAAAAACAAGGCTTACAAACACACAACATAGGCAATACATGTATACATTTATTTTGCCTCATAATTCACAGCAACCAAAGCTATCAAAAGACAATTTTATTCTCAGAATTGGAAATAATTAAAAAGGGGTTCTGTATAAATCTCTATTTATCTTGACTTTCCTTCACTACTTTCTTTTAATTACATTCCTTAATTACAAAAAGTCTTTTCATCAAATGTTGGTTCTTGGCATGTTGCTTTCCAAGAAATTTGTTTCAATACATCATGTGTCTGGATTCTAACATGTACATTAACAACAGAAGCAAGGAGAAAGAAATAGAAAGGTCTGGAAGCTGAGACTAGCGAAGGCCAGACATGATTAGAGGCATTATGCTTGACCTTTAGATAGCCTTGTCCTAGATTTGACACTGACCATCCACTCCACTGGACTGGTCAGTCATAGTCTTGTTTTCCAGACCAATTTGTCAACTTAATGCCTTAATGGGTTTGCAAGGCTAGAGTAAGATGGTGTGAGACAAAGGAAATAAATTTGATTGGTCTTGAAAACTGACCCATCTAAGACATTGGCCACATACTTTTGTTGTAGGTAGTCCATTTTCCAGACCAAGTGTTAATTTGTATGCTCTAAGTTTGCTGTTGGCTTCAAATATATCTGCTAGGACTACTGTATGGTCTCAGTTATGTTTCAGGTTAGGACTAGGTCTACCACTGTTCATTGACCATCTTCCAAGCCTGACTGGTCAGTCACATTCATTTTCCCAGACCAAACTTCTTCTTCTACTCTCAATAAAGCCAAAATGCTGAGATATTTGCTCTTGGCTTCAGAGATATTTGCTAGGACTAGTGTTTGAGTTGCTTTGGGGTTTTAGAGTAGGTTTGGGTCAACAACTATCCACTGACCATCGACTCTAGTGGACTGGTCAGTTAGTCGTTTTCCCAGATCAAAACTCATCTTCTGATCTCAACAAGATCATGATGCTGTTATATTTGCTAGGACTAGTGTTTGAGTTGCTCTTGGGTTTTAGGCTAGGGTTTAGGTCAACCACTGTCCCTGACCATCTTCCAAGTCTGACTGGTCATTTTTTGTCTTACTTTCCAGACCAAGCAGCCATCTTTATGCACTCAACAAGGTGATTAGCTATTACATCAGGCAAACAAATATTTAACAAATCGGGGGGGGGGGGGGGGGGGGGGGGGGGCTACTTTTCAAGCTTGCTTGCATTAAAATTACATTCTTTATTTTGTTTTGCATTGAACTCTATGCAAAGTTTGGGGGGCTCTTTTATGACTTTCTGGGGCTCTTTGGGGCATTTCAGGGACTACTTCGCCCCGAGTCCCTGTTTATTTTTTTCTCCCTGTATTACATCCTACAGGTTCATTTCAATAAAAGTACAGGGCAAGGGCTTACATGTATATATTGAGATTGGGTTTTGGGTTAGGGCTAGGTCAAAATTCTAGGATAAAGTGTTTGGTGGACCAGGAAAGCAATTTGTTTGGCATTGAATCCTGATTCTTCCTCAATATAAAACTTGACACTGAAAAAGTGTGTTATCTCATTGGTCATTTGTAGTCTTAATTACCATGGGTTTAGGGCTTGGGTTGTGATTTCCATTGGGTTTATGGTTAGTGTAGTTCTTAGGTAATTGTTGCCATTTCTTCTTGAACATGTGCTGGAGAACTGTTCTATAATCGGGTATCTCTCTCTCTCTCTCTCTCTCTCTCTCTCTCTCTCAGTCAGTGACCAAGATTTGCAAGCGAGTTCACAGAACATGGACCCCAGCCAATGCTGGGATGCTCGCTGTGTCCCTTTCAATTAACATTGCAAGAAAGCTGATATGACATGCCAATCTGGACGACACTTCTGCTGATTGGACGCAACGTAACATAGGTGACAGTGTAGGTCTAACTCAGTCTGCAATTCGAGGCCCTGTCATTACTCTGCAGGAGTTGTACGCTGTTGATCCAACAATGCTTCAGCGGCAAGTGCTGCAACTATCAAGGATTAGGGTTTGATACAATTAGATTTTAGGATAGGTTCAGGGTAAGGGATTGTTAAATCTAAAGTCAGGATTAGTTATAGAGTTTGGAGTTTTGGAATCCCCTGGAGGCTTGTTCAGAAATGGCCCGGTAACCAACTGCAGGAGAGTGTTGGGTTGCCGGAGTTGTACGCTGCAAGTGCTACAACTATATAGGGTTAGGCTTAGGCTTGCAATTGGGTTTTAGGATAGGTTTAGGGTCAGGGTTAGTCACAGAGTCTGATGCAGGTTTTAAATTTGGAATCCTGTTGAGGCTTGTTCAGAAATGGCCCGATAAACCACTGCAGGTTTTTTTGTGAGGGTAAAGTCTATTTTTACAAAGTCCCTTAATTTTAATGTTAACAGGATTTTTTATTTTCTTTGAAGTTACCAATTACTATAGAAGTTACATGTAAAGCTACATGAATCTTCAGCATTGAAGGAGGCAGAAAACCCCATCAATCCTCCAGTGCCAAAACAACTACACTGGCTCCCAGTGAGACAGACACTTGATCAATAAAATACTAACTACCAAGTTCAAGATCAAGTCACATCAGGCTCTGAGCTA